TGTTGTTGCTCTTCGGCAGTGTTCAGAACTACAGGGCCAGCCTTCACAGCAATGACTGAAACTCTGTCTCTCTACTGTTGGTTCTTTTCCATGCAATAGAATAAACCAGAAATAATAACCAGAAATAATGATGGCTCTATCCCCATGTCACTTTGTGGTGCCCTTATGGGGAGCGGGAAGCAGAAGAGCTGAGGGTGTCCTTTCCTGCTCCTTCAGCTGTGGACGCTGCCTTTGTAGATGTCAGATCACATGGGTCTAAATGACTCATTTCCCACTGATGTTTAGCACCTATTTATCTATAAGAGGTCAACCATTTCCCTTTCCAGACAGCATTCTATCAAACTAAATGAGACAAAATTTTCAGTCTTTCTCCAGTAAGAGAGGCTTCACATTCCTGTCATCATCACAGCCTTTTTCTGCACTCTAGTTTTGGTTTGTCTTTTCTAACTAGAGATACTTCAGCCATAAGGGGATTCCAGATGAAGCAGAGCCTTAGCACCAGCTTGTCTCTGTTTCTATTAGGAACACATTTCCCGAAGTTTATTGTGCTCACAGGATGCAAATGGTCCATATACATCCTGTGACCAGCTTTCACAGTCATTTCCAGCAGATCAACTTCGTGTTCCAAGCAGTCCTTTTAGCTTTTAGTCCTATTGGTCTTCCAAGCTCATGGCCTTCTATTTTGCATATTGATTTTTCTGTTCTGTTGAGTTTTAGGAGAAGTACTTATGCACAGTCAGCTAGTTGGTCTTCTTCACTCTAGCTTGCTGGCCTGAGTATATGCCTGCAGGTCTGATACATTTGTTTTCCTTCCCAAGCTCTTCTGAAGGCAAATGTTGCCTCAGTAGTGCTATATTACACGCCTAGACGAGCAGCTGTGAGATTTACGGATGCAGTTCATTCTGCTACAGACTTTTTGGGTTTGAGGATTATTTTGGTTCACTTGTTTTTACTTTTGTTATAGTGGGTTTGTGGTTTAGTTTAAAAAAAAAATGCCATAGAATTAAATGGATCCTACCCATGATATCTGACTTTGCATGGGTTTTCATGAGTACAGTAGCAATTCATAAACCTTATGAATTGACCTTATGACTATTGTTTAGGGAAATGTTGTTGGTAAAACGTGTTTATTTGTAAATACCTAAAATGATCCATCAGCTTTGTGTACCAAAATAATTCTGGAGCTTATTTTTCCAAAAGGGAAGATGAAAGTGTAAAATCAGCTTACATGGAGGGTTATATTATAATGGGTACTCCCATCTGAAAGCTACTGGACAAATTCATTAATCCTGTGTAAGAAATTTTTGTTCTAATTTACAGCTTCTAAATAGTCATAAACTAGGTTATAATCCTTTGCTCTTGGGCAGACATTCTTCAGCACTCTCCTACAATAACCTTACTTGTCTTTAACCAGCAAGGATAAACAATCTAAGATCTTTTAGTCTCCTGAACTATGACAGAAACTCTATCTGACTGTTTTTACAGATAGACCTTCTCTTTACCTATTCCAAACAGATCATATCCTTCTTAAAGTTTAGTGATCAGAACAATGATGCAGAGTGTTCCGAATGTGGAGTCACTACTGCTTTATGTACCAGCACTTAAATTTCACTACTTTTGCTCTAGATACTTCCTCTGATGTGACTGGTATGAGATCTTCAGAGCCATAGTATATTCCTAGTTCCTGCTCACACTCACAGGAAATATTATTATACTCCAGTCCTTCTATTTTTTTGAGCCCTTTCTGATTCAGAAAGTTCTGGCTACTGATTCCCATATATGTGGCCTTGCCATTTGCACTTCACCCATTTTGATTTTTCGATTTCCTTAAGAATTTCAGGAGAATGAACTGTAGCAGTATTTTGTTACAACAAAATAGAAACACTCTGCATTTTAGATTCAGTCAAGAAATATTTCTCCTACTTGCCTTCAGCACTGTCAAATATCAAATGATTTTTGCAGCCTTCCAGATCTTCACAAGGCATTTTGAGATGGAGCACAACAAATCATGTATCAACTAAGGAAAAAGCAAGGGCTTCTTCCTGTAAGTCCAGAAGTTTGTTTGAGTCAACTGCCTACATCAAACAAATGTTGAAATTCTCATATTTACGCCATTTTTTAAAACTTCAGACAGCCAGAAGTTTCCTCACTCTGTGTAAGGGTCAGTTAAGAAATACAGAAGAGACAGCATTTCTCAGCTGACAAGTAGTCATACTGCAATAGGATGACTACATAGATTTTCTGTTAAAGCCTTATCTTACTTTCATAGCTTTAGACATTAGTATGGTTTCTCTTAAATGGTTATAATTTCTGATTGTCTGGAGAAATAGTCAAATATTAAACTATAACATACAATAAATAAATTTAAAAGATATAATTATACAGATACTTATTTTTCCTAATGCCTAGATGAACACATTATAGTATTCAGAGATGCTGGGTGCTGGCTTGCCTCTTTATGTTAATGAATCACAGAATCACAGAATGGTAGGGGTTGGAAGGGACCTCTATGGATCATCTAGTCCAACTCCTGTGCCAAAGCAGGTTCACCTAGAACAGGTTGCACAGGACCATGTCAAGGTGGCTTTTGAATATCTCCAGAGAAGGAGACTCCGCAACCTCCCTGGGCAGCCTGTTCCAGGGCTCCGTCACCCTCAAAGTAAAGACATTCTTCCTAATGTTCAGCTGGAACATCCCGTGCTTCAGTTTGTGCCCATTGCTCCTTGTCCTGTCTCTGGGCACCACTGGAAAAACTCTGGTCCCATCCTCTTGACACCCAACCTTAAGATATTTATGAGCATTTGTAAGATTCCCTCTCAGTCTTCTGTTCTTCGGGCTAAATAAGCCCAGCTCCCTCAGCCTTTCCCCGTAGGAGAGATGCTCCAGTCCCCTCATCATCTTTGTAGCCCTCCGATGGACTTTCTCCAGTAGTTCCTCAATGAAGACCCTCTGAAAGTTGATATCCTTTAACTTGGTGCCTAAGAGAGGATGTAGAGTGGAACTTTCAAAAGCTCCAGAATTATTTTGGTACACAAAGCTGATGGATCATTTTAGGTATTTACAAATAAACATGTTTTACCAACAACATTTCCCTAAACAAGCACACTTGTGGGCAAAAAAAACCAAACCAAAACAAGTAAACCTAAAACACCCCCAAAAAGCAGGTCAGGTTGATTTTTTAATAGAGTTTGGTTTCTGGAAATCTTGGCTGTTTTTTTATATTTTGTATTAAATGTTGTTTCTTTTTAATGTTCCATCTACACAGCTGTAGTATTTTAACAATCTAAATTTCTTTTGTTAATTTAGACTAGTCATTTTATTTTAGCATTGATGTGAAGAATAATGTTAATTAATTTTCTCAGTAAAGTGAAAAATGAAAACCTAAGTCTCAGTTAAACAGGTGTGAAAGTATAAAGAAGGATTAGTTTATACTCCTGCTCATTTTTAGAACACTTTACACTCCTAACACAGGGTACACTAGTGTATGTAACCCTCAAGCTAACCACTCAGGTGGTAAAGTTTATGCATAATCTGTTTCTGTTCCATTTATCATTTCTGCTAAGTTGCAAAAAATTGTACCAGAAGCTCCAGACATCCTGCTTTCATCATGCACATGTAAAGTTTCACAATTGTGGAAGTGTTAGAAAATACCATGAAGAGGGCCATAAAACTCCTCAGATAATCTATTCTCCTGCTCTGTTTTAATTGAGGAGTGTGTCTGTCTGCCTTTCTACTCCAGGTCAAATCACTGATATTTTGGCATCAACTGAATATTCTGCTCTTGATCTAGAAGATCCTGTCTCATGGTGTCAGTCACACGATGTACAAAATTTGTAACATATTTCATAATTTGCCCTAGATAATTCTTTGGATAGCGGCAATATTCCAGCAAAACACTTCCCTGGCAGGTTAACAAAGAATTGCTGCTCTCCAGAAAGATACAGCGATCAGTAGACTCATGGGAGGCACACAGCAATAGAGCAGGGGGTCAATTACTTGTGCAATGAAACCTGCATTCCCTCCTCAGCTAACCAGGTCTCCCTGCCATTTCTTTTCCTCTGTAGGATTATTTGCTCACCTCAGAGAAAGGTAGTTTCTACAGCTGTGTCCGCCTCTGTGAGGGAGATATAAGAAATGTATTTTCCTGAAGACTCCTTTTACTGTGCAGTCTCAAAATCTGAGTCTTCGCAGATATTTTTCCTCATGCCATAGAGCTGGAGAAGAAATGAGGAATAAAGAAAATTATTCCAGAAATGGAAATAAAACATTAATGGCAGAAAATTGAGTGGAAGAAAATATCTTCTGAGACACAGCCTTTGTCAAGAGGTCCTTCTAGTTTGGTGACTTAGAGCTCCCAGGCCAGAGTCACTTTGGGAAGGTGGAATGGAAGGCAAGAGACAACACCCTGGCATATCCTAGCTGAGGTGCCAACCTCGAGCACAAGTACTTCCTTCTTTTGGATGAGAGCCCAATTTGCCAGCTTTAAGATGCAAGTCCACCTTCTGTTTGCTTTCAGCACATTCTGGGAGGAAGCAGAAACTAAAATGTGATCACAAATGTGCTGCAGAACACAGCCGGCCAAGCTAAAAAACAGCCTCAAAGCTGCAAAACTTTTTGTTCAATTTTGTGTTTCAGGCCTGAACCTGATGTAATCAGGTTGTCTATTCAAAAGAAGAAGAGTTCTAATGGGAAGAGAAGAGTTCTACAAAAGTGGCTGTGTTTTCTTTAATGGTGGCAGAAAGAAATATATGCCAGTCAGGGAGGGCAGAAGTGAGGTAAAGAGGAAGGAAGAGAATACAGCAATGAGTGAGAGAGTAACTTTTTCTTGGCAATACTGCGGTTGAGGAAGCTCAGATGCATCTTCATGCCTCAGCTGCTTCATTTGTGTCCGCCAATATAAAGAAACCCTGCAGGGGAGTAGATTTTCATCCCAGCTTACTAGCTGCAAATGCTAGATCTTTTTCTACCTTTTTCTTTCGATGCTTTCGTTTTTACCAGCTATGACAGAAGAAGTAACATATGCTAATCTGAAATTTGAGAACAGCCATCAACTGGATAATTTCACAGAGCCTAAAGATACTAAGGAAAAAGGTGCAGTATCTATGAAGCTTTTATGATTTATTCTTGCGACAGTAGATGGGATGGGAAATACTTTTAATCATATGCCCGAGGGGCCTTTGTTAGCTTTGTTACTATCAGAAAAGTTATACTAGTCATAAATATATCCTGTTTTTTGTTGCTGCCATTTCTGCCTGAAATTTTCAGAGTTTGGAAGGTATATCTGAAATAGTGATCTTATCATATCACGGAAAAGCATATTACTGAGAGTTATACTAAGGTCCACAAATAGTTTACATTGTCTAAACCTCAAAATAGTTGACTCGAACTAATTTTTAAAGTGTATCAGTTCCATTTAATTTCTCCATGCATTTGCATTCAAGCTTAGAGCTGAATTAGCTATAATAACGGACCCCCTTTATTTCACTTCTGAAGTTCTAGCCTGAATTAAGGTACTGGTCTTTGAAGTGGCTGTATCTGTTAAAGGGAATCATGCATTTTAAATACTAATTTTGAATTAATTTTGTTTAATTTGAGTTAAATTGCAAAGATGAGCTCTAGATTTGACTGGTGCAACTCATGGGAACAAAGAAGATAGAAAGTGCTAGCTGTTTGTGGGGTCAGGCTCTGGACCAGAGATTTATAAACAAGAGGACAACTTGCTTGTGATTGAGAAGGAATTCTCTGGGGAATTCTGTATCTAAGAGCAGTGGTTTCGAATGCTGTTATGTTTTTTGAATATATGTTACATTTTTTGAACATTGTTATGTTAAGTCATGGTTTTGAGCAATGCCAAAGTATAGTTCAGGGGCTATAATATACATAATATACATAAAATATATAATTTGCCAGCACCATTTAACATCTTTGTCAGTGACATGGACAGTGGGATTGAGTCCACCCTCAGCCAGTTTGCTGACGACACCAACCTGTGTGGTGCAGTTGACATGGTGGAGGGAAGGGTTGCCATCCAGAGGGACCCTGACAGACTTGAGAGGTGGGCCTTGTGAGAACCTCATGAAGTTCAACAAGGCCAAGTGCAAGGTCCTGCATGTGGGTCAGGGCAATCCCAAGCACAAATACAGGCTGGGTGGAGAATGGTTTGAAAGCAGCCCTGAGGAGCAGGACTTGGGGCTGTTGGCTGATGAGACGCTCAACACGACCAGGTAATGTGCACTTGCAGCCCAGAAGGCCAACTGTGTCCTGGGCTGCATCAAAAGAAATTGCTGCTTGGTCTTGATTCATATAGCTGCCTAGAAAATATTTTGCATTTGTTTATGAAATCTCACTTTCAAATGACAAAATCTTTGTCTCTTCTCATCTAAAAGTTCCAGGAATTGTGGACTATAATGTGCTTTCAAGTCTTCAGCTTGGTGCTGTGACTTTGTAGGGGTAGGAACAATTTGATTTTGCCCTTTAGCTCCAATTCATATGAGTTCATTTAGAAGCCTGCCTTAGGGAGTCAACTTTTTATTACTGAAGGACACAGTCAAGGCATCCTTAAGTTTGTTAGGATCTATCAGATATGTGATTCACCCACGCAGGCATAATCTCTGAGTGTATTTGTTGTGTGCCTGTGAGATCAGACCTTAGAAAATAACACAGAAGGGAAGTGTTCTTCCTCTTCGTGACAGGCCTGGGTATTTCTCTTTTATGCAATAGCAAGCAGTTAGAGCACTTCCTTAGGCTGAGGTTGCATTCTGTAACGAAATGCTTGTGCGTGGAACGTGGCTGAAGTAATGTATATTAAGCAAGGCTTTTGTCAGTGTCTCTTACAGTATTGTCATTTTAAAGCTGAGGAGGCTATGGGCTGGATGGTTACATAGACTGGAAACTGGTGAGATTATCAGGCTCAAAGGGGAGTAACTTACGGCTCAACATCTGTTTGGTGGCAGAGTCCCTCAGGGGTCCCTCAGGGACTGATACGGAGCCCATGTTGTTCAGTATTGACATCCACAACCTGAAAAATCACACAGAGTGTGTCTTCAGCAAATTTATAATGATACTAAACTAGGGGTGGTGGCTGATGCTGCCAAGTGGTAGAGCTTCAAAACAGAGGAACCTTGAGAAACTTGAGGACTGGGTGAGCAGATACCCCATGAAGCTCCACGAGTTGTTGTGCACTGAGGTTGGGTTAATGCCAGGCAGTGGTGCAGACTGGGAGCAGGCTGACTGTCGAAGCTGGAAAGGACCTGGGGTTTATGGTGAATCAGAGGTTGAATGTAAGCCAGCAGTGATCTGTGTCCCAGTTCAAGACACCATCCATTGCTCAATCTTCTTTCACCTGAATATTCATCATCTTGACTTTCTGTAAGGTGAGGTCTTGACAATGTTTGCCCAGGATTGCTTCACCACAGAAGCTGACCACAGCTTATTTGTAGGAAAGGCACAGTGCATACTGTCCTTTCCTGCTCCTTCAGCCTGACACACCAAATTTCAGTTCCTACTCCTTCAGTAATTCACGCCCTAATTTTAAATACCTGTTTCTTTTTTCTAGACTAGCAATTTCCTCTTCACATTGCCATTCCACTGCCTTTATGGGATTCAGTCAAGCTGGTGGCAGCTCTCTACAAAGTCCATATAGTGGCAACTTTAATATCTGCCTTAGATTTAGTGCTTCCCTGACTAACTGAATGCTTTTCCTCCCTCCTCCTGTGCATCTTAAACCATGAAATCTCCCAGCTCCTATAAACAAGATCTCTTTTGGATGACCCACGTGCTTAAAAATTCCTTTGCTTAGGAAAAGGTTGCTCCTTTTTCTCCTTGTTGAGAGCTCATTTTTGCATTTAGACTGTAACACTTATTACAGAAAAATCCTCTATGAATTCCTAGCTAGAAATCTCAAACTACCATAAAGTACCAGAGGAGTTTACAGTAGCACTCATATTAACCAGATTACCACAGATTTATGCCATGCATCCCAAATTATCACAACCATACTGTGCACATTTCTTTTCAGCTTCGAGCAATTAACTTTCTAGATTTTGCAGTATCTTGCTTTCTCAGCAGCTTTCTTGCCACTGTCTACTGTCTTTGAAAGGACCAAGGCTGCCCACATTGGCCACTGAGCTGTTGTGATTTCTCGCTCTCTTACTTTATTTGGGCATCTGTTGCTGTGTGCAGAGGGTCCTCAGCAGGAACATACAACCATAGAGTAAAAGCGATTATTTATTGACCAATGCACGACAAAGATGTCTGCAATTTAATAAGGCTAAAGTATTAACCATTCCCTTGTTATCACACCTTCATTTCATGACTGAATTCCTCCCAGGGCCTCCCACTCCATCCCGCTCTTGCTGGCCAGTAGTCCTGATTTTGTTGGTGCTGTGCCTGGCATTGTTGACAGCGCTGGTGACCCTGGCAGTTTTATGTAAGTACTAATGCCTTTCTGCTTGCTGGGGGGCTCAAGCGGCAAAATAACACCAGAATGGCATCTCCTTCAGGTGCAATTTCTGGTTCAGCAACCAGGCAAACCAGGTATTTTCCCCTGCCACAGCATCTTTGTCCTCTTCTCGATGTGATGAGGCTACAAATGAGTGTCATGGAGGGGAGCTGGAAGGGGGCGGAGCAGGAGATTCACCATTAGCTAGGGCTGCCATTTTCTGTTCTCCTAAAAAATGTATCCACAATCCTGCTGTACTGCCTAAGGATGGAGTGAATTCCTCTTTGGCAATGCTGGATCTGAAGGGAAGGGAAAAGCTTTGTGTCACAGTAAAGGGGTTGTGTCCATTATCTCCCATCCACGACAATTCCACTGCGATCCAGGGCTGAAGTTCACATTTTTAGGGAAAAAGCACAGCCTGGAAACCAATATAAGAGGAAGATACACAGTGGAAATATATGATAAAGAGTGAGACTGTCATTTTTCTGTTCGCTCACAGGCAAACAATAAGAAATCCACTATGTAAATATTTTCCATCTCAGCAGCCCTTACATGCAACTGTCCAGGGAGGAATAACATTTATCCCAAATGGTTTATTTATCCCTACTGATCTGCTAAGACATCCCCTATCTACATCCCACCCTTTCTGAAGGACAACAGCGGAAAATGTCTTATTGTGGATTTCAGTTTTCCAGATTCCCAAGCACTACAGGACAGAACTTACAGACCTCAACATGACAAAGAATGAGCTGCATGCAAATTTCTCAAATATGCTGCAAGCAATAGGAAATCAGCTGTGCTTGGAAGGTGAAAAAACCCTTAAAAATAATGGTAAGTCAACAAGCTTTGATGCGGGCTTATCTTTCAACATGGCAGGGAAGAAAACGGGATGCATCTTCTGTGTCTGCTCAGGTCTATCGCCTCAGGTGAGCCTGTGTCTTCTCAGATGTGACCACCTAGAATGCAGGCAATGAGCATGTCTGCCTCATGCAGTGCCTGGAGAGAGGCACCCAACCTGGCCATATCTGCACTAGGGTGGGTCCTGGCAGTGGTACCAGGGTTTCAGGATTTAGTTCCCATAACAAAAGGGTTCTGTGGGATGCCTTCTGGACATGCCAGTTCCCACCAGCACTCATTCAGGGATCTCTTCAACGTGCTCATCTGCACCTAGTAGACAATTTTAGAGTTGTCCCTGAGAATAAAACAACTTACTGTACTCTGAACAGCAGTCCACACACAGGACAATGCAGTAATATTGACCCCAGGTAAGACACGAATCTCCTGCAGTCAGATGTAATGTGTGGTGAAGCATAACTAAACCAACCTGGGAGTTAGCTCTCTGTCTCCTGATTGTGTACAGCGTAGGGCTGTTTCTGAAATCAGTTTGCCACAGCCAATTAATTAAGTGGCATCCAACAATGAGCGAGCCAGAGAAATAGTTCTCTTCAGAAATTATACTCTGAGGAGTAGGGGCATTGGGCAAAGGGATCCTACTGTCACTGTCAGGAAAGGGGATTGCATTTGTCCAGATACTGTTCCACAGACCAGCTAACTGTCTAGGTGTTGCTTTTAGCCAATGAAGAGGAATTGGTAGTGCAAGGATGCAGTCTGTTTCCTCTCAAGAAAGACACCTGAAATGACAGAAAAAGCACGTGTGAGACATGCCTACTTCTGTCCATTGACTAAAATGGGAATCCAGATTGGTTGGCTCATGTCACCTTTGTAGACTCCTAAAACCAGGCAAAATAAATCTCATTTGCAACACTTGAACCTCCTCCCAGTGCTAAAGGAATGGGAAAGCTAGGGGGATGATTCAGTTTTCATCTCTGTCAATACCTGAGTCTTCTGGGACCACAGCGCAATTTTGACTGAATGAGGACCGCCTCAAACATCCTCAGTCCCTACGGATCTTGTCGTCCCAGGCCAACAGTGAAGTTCTGTGAGGGATAGCCTGGGAACAGAAATGGGGTGATGGTTTTCCTTTTCCAGGCCAGAACTGTGTACTCTGCCCTGCAAACTGGAAGTGGGAAGGTGGTGATACGTGTTACTACCACTCCGACGAAAAGAAGTCGTGGGAACAGAGTCACCGGTTTTGTTCTTCACGAAACTCTACTCTTCTTCTGATAAAAGAGGCAGCAAAGCTGGTATGGACTGGTTTCTCACTCTGTTTAGCATGGAGGAAATTCGTGCACCCTATCCACTACTCACCTCACGCATAATTTTCTTAAATGGCACTGTGAGCAGGAGTTTTACTTCAGTGATTAGGTTGTCCTGGGCAGTGCTAAGGCATAGGACTGGTCATTGCCACACTAAGTGCAGCCCTTCAAGTGTCTGCTGGTGGGAGACAGCCCATCTTGCTTCCACTTGCCTTGGCTGCCAGCTTACTGGGATGACTGGTGAAAGCAGGTTCATGGCTGTTTTGTTGTGGGCAGTGATTTCACTAATTGAATAAGTATTACAGATCCATACAAGTATTTGGTAAGATATTAGTGTGAAAACCTCTTTTAAACCTCCACATTTTGTAGTTCTTTCCACAGAAATTGAGCTCATCTTTTCAATCAAAATTAAAACTCTTGGCAGCGAGTTGCTGAAATCTGGCCTAATCTTTCAGTTAATGAAAACAAACTGAGGTGGGAAGAGAAAATGTCAGGTGTAGAGTGAAATAATGCTTCTGCGTCTGGATGCCAGCAGACGTGTCAGAAGACCGAAGGCAGAAAAGATGTCCCAAGAGCTAGCAGCCAGGGCTGGGCCTGCCTGCCCTCCAGCACTCGACAAATGCCAGTTCCCCTCTCACTGAGCTGCAGACCAGAAGGTTTCTCCCAGAAGTGAAGGGGAATAGCTTTATTCTTACCCTCTCAAGTTGGTGGCAGTAAAGGTTGTGAGGTGTATGCTGTTCTAGCCATCTTAATCACAGCATTGAGAGCTATGAGGAAAAAGAAAATGGAGAAGTGCACTGGGAGTAACAATGATAAGTGAAGGAAGGAAGAGAACAACAGAAAAACTTAATTCAAATCTTTAGAGATTTCCCTCAAGCAGCAGTGAGAAAGGCAGCATTATTCAGGTTTACATTCTTACCTGTTCTGCTCAGAGCATTTTTTAAGAACAGAATATTGCTAAGTGCTTTACTTTAAGACCTCTTCTACCTGTCATGGTCCAACTTTTGGGAATAAGTTAACGATGCTAGAGTCAAGTGTGAAGGTTCAACAAATCAAAACCAACAGCTCCTTGCAGAGGCTTCCTTTTCACTGTTGACAAATGCTAAGGACAGAGTAAACGGGGAGGAACGATTCATGACTAAAGCAGAGAGAACGATCCAGTGTTTCACCCAGAGAGCTTAAATCAGGTAGATGATGTTGACATTGCTCTTCGGAGCTAGAAGTGTATCTTCTCTCCGATTAAAAACAGCTCTACTATAACTTCTCCTTTGATACAGGCTTTTCCTTTAAGTGCAGAACCTGTCCTGACAGGTGAGCAATTTGTGGTATTTACATTCCTTATGCAATTTCTGTCAATACTTTCAACTTCTGAGCCTAAGTATTTGTTTTTATTCTCTTTGTTAATATCTGTTTTCTGTTGTCCTTACTCTACATAGGAATTGGTGAAAACATTTCCTAGAAAAATATACTGGCTTGGATTAACATTTAGAGCTAAAGAGAGAAACTGGTATTGGGCAGACAACACAACTCTTACAGAAGAACAAAAGTCTTGGTAAGCGGGCAGCTTTTCCACAGTACATAAAGTTGGTCCTCACCCACATGCAGATCCCAGTTTCTCTGATGCAAAGAGCACACTGAACAGCCAAATTTTCTGCAGCTTTCTCTGTATTCTGCCTCACTTTTGCATATCAGATTTTTCTTGGCCTCACCCAGAACTGCTTGGAGGGTGATCTAGGCACTCTCACTGGGCAAAAAATGTACCTGGAAAGTTTATTTCCACAATTTAGTTTCAGACTGACCATAAATGTCATATGTTTCTCCTGTATTTGACATCTTGTTTCAGTGATGACACAAGGAAAAACCTCCAATGGAAAGAATTTTCATTTCATGCTTTAGATTTTATTTATTTTTTATTTTTATGTAAGACACTTTATTCTCTAGAATCATTTCATTTTAGTTTAACATGTTATTTCAGAAATACAATATGGTTTTCTTCTTGCTTCAAACCTACTTTGCCAATTTTCCTTTTCATTATTGGGCAGTCTTCTCTTAACATTTCTGTTGAAACAGCCACTGACACCCTCTGATCTCTACCCAGGAGTTAGTGTTTCTTGCTGTCAGGTACAAGAGATGGTCTAGGATCCACCCTCAGAGTCTGCTGAGGGTGCTTGGTGGTATGTTCAGGACAGGGTCAGCCTCCTAGGAGTTGGTGCACGTTGTTACTAAGTGCTTTATTTCTTTGTTGGGGGTATATATCCTTCATGAAAGCCACATAAGTAATTCTTGCAAAGACCACTCTTTTTAGAAGGGGCAATGATGCACCATTTCAATGAGGTGAGATATAACAATAAAGACTTTTCTTTCCTAGGGCAAGGCATATAAACTCCCTCCAATGCTGTGCATATTTTTATTATACTGAAATATATAGCCAAGCATTTAAAGAAGAGCTTCACTATATCTGTGAAAAGCCCGCTGTCCAATTAGAGCGAGGTAGCAACCATTGGCAGGAGGACTGGTTTGTCAGACCAAAATGATTATAAGAAGCTAGAAGACGTTCTGCAAGGTTGGATTTCTTTTTTTTTTTTGAGAATTACCACATGAGAATTTAAATATGTTGCATCAAACCTAACACATTTCCCTGTTTTCATTCTGTTTTAGACATACGTAAAAATATCTTCATACTAAGGCAATGGGCATGGTGGCAGGCTCCAAGAGCGACCCAAGTCTGTCATTCCGGATCCAAAACTGCCAAATGATTACTTAGTTTTAACCAACCCAAGTGATGGACAAAACAGCCAAAAGTGATGGCCAGGAAAAAAATCGCAGTGATAAGGCAAGCACGTAAAGATACTGCTCTTCTCCCAGCATCCACTGATACGGACACAACACCACTTCTCAGTTCATAACTGTACAGCTGTAACAGAACACAAGTGATGAGGATTAAACACTTCCATTCAGGACACACTTCTGATGTCTTGTTGATCTGACTGCTTTAATACACTAGTGGGCTGCAGTACCCTACACACAGACACAGTTATCCTCAGCAGGTGGGCCAAAGTGTTCCTGAACTGTATGAATAATCATATTTTCTCTGGAGCACAGGGATTCATAGTCCTCATAAGGACTTGTGAATGCATCACAGGAGAACATATCCTTCAGCTGTGAATGTCTAGCTCTCGTCCAAGTTCTATACTTCTTCCTGGCACTGTCAGTTCTCTTTTTTCCCTTTTTTTTTTTTTTTCCTTTTTTTCCCCCTAGTAATAATTCTGCTCTTTTCTACTTTTCTACTTTTGTACTTTTTTGATCTACTGCAAGAATTATGCTAGAGTTCAGTCAGAGGCATGAACAGAACCTCCTTTTTTGTATTTTTAGGATATTTGCTGCAATTCCATACTACTAACTTCATGTGCTGAGCAAGGGTCTACAAACTCAACTGCAGTGAAAATACCCCAGGCAGTGTTAATGAACAAAATATTTCCCTCCAAATCTCCATAGAACAGTGACAGTCAGGTTGAAATAAGAAATCTCTGTCCCGTAACAGTGTTTTGATATGAGTGAAGAGTCCGCAAATTCCTAGCTTGGTCCCCTCTCAAGACTATTGTATTCCTTGTGGATTGCATCCCATATTATCTGTTGTGGATTATTTCCCACTGGTGTAGCAGCTGGGCTGCTAAAGCATTAGTCATTCCCTTCAAGAGGCTGTTCTAGTGTCTCACTGACCTCAGCACTACACAGCAGCTTCTGATCACGAACATGAAGATTTTGGGCACTATTTTCAAATACCAGTTTCACACTCCAGAAACCTTAGTGGATTTCTCTTCCTCTCTGCTGTGTACACTCACCACTCATATCTCTAACGTAACCTCTCCTAGCTGCTCCTCTCCATTCCTCTCCTAGCTGTTTCTGTCTTTGGGTGTGAAAATGCAGAGTGCTTCTGTCCTGCGGCGCAGACATAGCCTTGGTGACTTCCCAGAGCGTCTCTCAGCATTCATACCAGCTACACTGAAATAAGAAATCTCACGTGGAAGGTATCCTGAACTGTATTCAAAGTGCATCCTTTCTTGATAATGAAGGGCTTTGCTGCAATTTTTCAGAAAAAATAAAAAAGAAAGAAAGAAAGAAAGAAAGAAAGCCTGATCTTGTTTTCTCTTACATTAGAGTGACTGTGAGGAAGCAGGGAAGATATATCCAGGATGTTTTTTTATTAATGAGGCATACCTAACGACCAGATAGGTGAATCCTAGATGCTTCTGCAGTTTTGTTGAAGAAAAACCCGAGCTGAGATTGACAACTCTCTTCACTGGCAGGCTACATCATATCTTGCTGTGGCCTTGATTGTTTGGGTCAATCTACTGCCAGCCCAAAAGCAGTCTCAGGTGTAACAACTGTATTTGTACCTGTAAAGGCAGCTGGGTTTAGAGTACAGTTTCACAGTGCGTTGTGCTACTGAAACAGAAGGAGCTAGCTGCTTCTTCTCAAAAAACAATGACTGAAACACAAAAAAAAAAAAAAAAAGAAAAGAAAATCACACCAGAGAAGAAAGCCAGGAGGCAGTCTCCTACAATTCACTGAAGACATTTGGAGTGCTGCACGAACAACCTCATCCAGAAAGGTAGAAACTGGTGAAGGACATACCCTAATGGTGGGGTAACCAGGTAGGGCTTAAGGACGCGGTGTCGCACTGTATCCCCTTTTGCACTGAAAGAAGCTTTTTCTTACTGCAGAGGAGATATAGAAACATACTGCTCGTGTACTGGCTGAGATGACATTTCTGAATCACAGTTCTGTACAACAGTGTGTTTGCTAAAATTCACTCCTCCCTGCGCCCCCCACCCGCTGCTAGTCATAGACTCTAATGCAATTTGCAAGGTCGCATGATGGTTAATAAACAGAGCTGGTTTGTCCAGCCTGCTGACAACATCTATACATGGGCTGTGTTCAAATGTAGACCCAAACTTCCTGCCGTAGTTTACCTTTCTTTTCATTGTAGTCCAAAGAAAGAAGAAATTCTGCCTGCCCTGTATCCTTATAAAAGCAGAGAACGTGACAATGAAGACCCATCTTACTGCTTGTTTTACTTCTGTTCTTGCAGCTGGATTTGTTTTAAAAGTTGACTCAAAAAAAAAAAGTGATATAATTAACAGACTGATTATCAAATTCAGAGCTACCAAAATAAGACAAGAAACTGACTTTACCTTCTGTTTTCTGTCCAGAAGTAAAATCAGGTTGGAAAAAAGTTCCCCAAAGGTGGTTCATTAACATGCTTGAAAAGTTATTGCTAAGACTGAAGAGGTCACTCTCACGAAAACTTCCAATAAAATTCAGTAGCATAGACACACCTGACTCCCAGTTATCTGCAGAAAAGCCCTTTTTACACCAAGGTGTCAACATACAGTTTTTCAGGCCCGATAGACAAGTCTTTTTGCACCATATATAGCACGAAGTTTTTATGTGGATATTGTGCATACACCATGGATACACAGTGACTGCTGCTCCTTATGTGCCTCTCTGTGTAACAAAACTGACTGTGAGCACCCTTTTCTCCCAACTTTTCCATCATGCCTTCTCTTTGCGCACAGGTAAGATACAATGCATGACATACATGCAGCCAGAGATATTTCTGTTCTGCAAAAATCGATCATCTGCACAGCAACACGGGAAGAATAGCCCAGTCATTACAGTGTATTTCCAGTTTGTTTATACGATTTTGCCAATTGAACTTCACACACACGAGCAGGAACAGCTACCACAGAAACTCCTCTTTTGCCATTTCCTCCTGACTCACCCCGTCAGCATTACATGACTCCTCATGTCTGGGCAAGTGCTCTGTTAAGTACAGTTGGTCAGTGAGCACGTTTAAGAACTACGGCTCAGCACTGGAGCAAGGCACTGCAGAGAGCTAGATAAGGAGAGCGAGGATGGATAACCCACTTTCGCACAGTGACTTCTGTGTACAGCACAACAGCAGAGAGGTCCTCAGTGTGGTCTGGTCTTTCTCTGACACAGGCTGAGTGGTCATGTGAATCCTGCCAAGCTCCTGGCCTCACCGTCCTTTCAGCTCAGCTTGTCCACTTCTAGCATTCGTTTCAGTGAATTTTTGTAACACAATTTCATTTTTCATTTATTTCGTAGTAGTGTATGGAAATGCAGCCTATTACTTTCTGTGCAGCTGTTGTGTTTGTGCCCTGATACATGAACAGATATCTTCATACCTTAACTCAAAATAGGAACTGTTTCTAGAGTGTCTTATTTTAAGGAGGTAGAAAATCCTGACGTTTGCTGTATTTACGGGGTCAGGTCAGATGGATAGTTAAATGAAAGTTTTAGGTTCCTCAGCCAGTAACGAAGACTCCCCATCTTCACATTCAGGAAGAAAATGCGCATCTTTGACAGTGCCACTTGAACTCCTTAATGTGCTCTCAATACGTTACACTTTCACTATGACGCAGTAATCAGAAGGGAGCCAGCTTCCTCCGTGGTTTCGCTGGAAATGCTGAAATGTGAACCATTTTTATCGCCTCAGCAATGGTCTTGCTGCAGTGTGCCCTTACTCCCAAAGTAGTGCTATTGCAGTAAAGAAGTGTGACGAGCTGGAGATGGAGGACGAAGAAGGCTACACCGCTTTAAATTTACGACCCTCAGCTTCAGTTATTACTCCTGGATATTCAAGCAGCAACAAACGTTCTTCACTGAAGGCTCCGGCCAGTTGTGTTACAGTAGGCAGTAAGTACAGATGAAAATTAGCTTTTCTGTCTAGATCAAGGCGTAACTTCAATTTGCATGTTCATGATGATTTCTTTAGAGTCCTTAGACACTTCACAGTATATTCTTAGATAAATGTTCATAGAAACAGCACAAGGAATAATCATAATGGAGTCTTGTGTGCCATTGCTTATGATCACAGATTGTATTTTTTCTAAGCCTATCTTTACTCCATTTATATTTTCCATTTCCTTCAACACAGAAGACAAATTACACTTTTCTATAGATTTTTTTCATATTGGTAGGACTTATTTATTACAGCAGGGCATTACAAGAGAGGAAGGCACTATAGCTTTATCAGATAATGCAGGTCTTGGAAATGGAAACAATTTCTTCACTATGGGGAGTAGAAAGGTTCATTGTTTATCAGTCTTAATAGTGAATGTAAGCTCTGATAGAAATATATATTTTCATTTGTGTATACTGGAAGTTTTTCTACAAAAAAAGCTGAGTGCTAAGTAAGGTAGTGGATTGTGCCCATGGAATGCCTGAGACTGTAAAATGGTGACTGGAGTACTGTTGCTGTTTCTCATAAATGCACCACCTGGCTTATGAGTGAAATAAATATATCATTGCTGCTATTTGCAAGTTGGACAGAGTAGACAAAGACTAAACTAACGTCACTCTGGTGCTGTCTGGAAAAGATCTAGGGTTATCCATTGAGAATGATCGCTTGACAAGGAGGATGGAGCAGAAGCTGTAGAGAAGCAGCAGCCAGAAAACCAAGGATAAAGTATTAGGGAGTGTGATCTAGGGGCAAGCTTTATGGAAAGAAATAGGTTGGCAAGCTCAGAAAACTCTTAAAATGGCCTTTTGATATGCACAGAGAACATGTAAAGTAGATAGACTTATGACCAAATTAGGTTGGGAGGGACTTCTGACGTTCATCTTTTCCAATCTTCTGCTCACAAGGGCTGTCTCAAGTCTGATCAAGTTGCTCAGGGTCTTGTCCACTTGAGTTTTGGAAACCTCCAAGGATGGACATCTCACAGCCCATCGCATCTAGCTGGGAGTTTCCCTGATGCATCTTGTGACTGTTGTATTGCGTCCTTTCACTGTGCCTCTCTGAGAAGAGTCTGGCTCCATCTAGAAACCCCTTTTAGGTAGTGGAGGCCTGAAATTAGGTCCTCCCTTAGCCCCTCTTCTCAAGGCTAAACAAGCCTAAGTCCTTCAGCCTCTCTGTGGGTCCCTGACTAACTCAGTCTTCCTCTGCTGGACTCTCTGCAGTTAGCTGACATCTCTCTTGAACTGGGAAGCTCAGCACTGGACACAATACCCCAGACATTTCATGACTGTCAAGCAAAGTGCCATAATCACTTCTCTCGACCTGCTGGCTGCTGTCTTGCCAATGCAGTCCAGTGCTGCTCAGCTCTCATTGACCCAAGAGCACACTTAAGAATTTGTGTTCAACTCTTCCACCAGGACCCTGAAATATAGCTGCTTTCTAGCCAGTCAGACCCCTACCTGTACAGGTGCATGGACTTGAACTATTGCAGGTGCCAGACTTCACATATGCCTCTGTTGAGCTGTTGCACTTAGGGCTCATTCCTAGGATTTTTAGGTCCCTTTAAAAGGAAGCCCTACCATCCAGCATATCAGCCACTAACCCAATGTGGTGTCATATGCAGTCTTTTCAAACTACATTAACTAGTGAGGATTAGGGTCATCTCCCTTAATTTTGGCTATGTAAGTTTTAGTTATCGAGTCTATCGGGACTTCTGGACACCTCTGGAGCTTGTTTCTTCTCCCCTAAAAAAAAAGAGAGAGAGAGAGAAAAAAGATTTTAACCAGCAGATAGTCAGCTGTAAAATTCTGGAGAATCATATTCACAATTAGACATTGAACCACAGCGAAAATTTGGAGAAACAGCCTCAAGAAGGATGTACAGTTTAATGTTCAAACATTGCAGTCATTTAAAAATCCCAGCCACAGGTAGCAATTATCCAAACCTAGACAGTAATTTTTCCTCTTCAAGGTGGAGAAATCTTAGAGATTGTTTTATTATTTCCAGGGCTGTGGGAACTGCAAAATCTAATCTGTTTACCTGTTCTGTCAGAAGAACTTTTACGCTAAAACACTACAGCCTCAGTTAGCAAATATTCTCAGTGGATAAACAGATATTTTCTCAAAACCACTCCAGGAAATCCAGACTAGCAATAACAAAAATTGCAGTAAGAAAAAAGACCCACTGCAGAAGGGGTAAAGGTGAACTGGTGTTGTCAGAGAGGAGGCAATACAACTGCGTGATGTTTTTGTTGCTGAATGGATTTTTCATTTGTCCCAGGAGCCTATACTTCATCTTCCGTATGGCGGTCAGCGGCCTTCGCTCTCTCCGCTTTGTGCCTGATGCTGCTGACGGGGCTGATAGCCCTGCTAGCCCTGTGTAAGTACTGAGGTGTCCCGAGCTGCTGCTGGGGAGGGAGTTCCAGGTGCACGGCTGCTTCTTCTCCCCCTGTAGACTGTCCCTCGTATCCCTCTCCCACCGATGGAAATAATACGGCGAGAAGGACAAGAGTACAGCTCTCCCACAGAAGCACCCCAGCAACTGCGTGTCAGCACAGTTCACTCATATCTACACTTATAGTTACCTTAAACCTAAGGGTTAAAATAAACCTAATGCAAGACCTAATCCTAACTAACCCTAACCCTAACACTAAACCTCTTATCTTAATCCTAACCATAATGACCCTTGTGCTAAATCTAATCCCTAACCCAATCCTTATCCCAAAGCGTAAACCTAACCCCTAAACCTAACACCAAACCTAATCCTAAACCATAACCCTAAACATAACCTTAACACCTAATGCTAACCCTAACCCTAATCATAATACCCATTACCCTAATGCTAACCCTAACCCTAATCATAATACCCATTACCCTAATCCTAACCCTAACCCCAGCCTTAACCCTAAACCTAACCCCAGCCCTAGCCTATACCCCTAAACCTAACCCTAAACCCTGGAAGCTCATCTGGTTCACCACATGACGTGGATAACAGTGCCCACCGGTGACCGTTCCTGGAATATTTCACAGTTACAGCCCCCTCGTGAATCGCAAGCTTTTTGCAGGGAGGGCAATCCGGGCATGAAGGAGTCATGGCTGGTGCATTTCCCAACAATTTACCCAGCAGATTTTCCATGGAAACATTTCAATTAACAGCCAAAGGTGATGCCACATTGCATTTGGAATCAGAGTCCCCAGTTTCTTTTTGTCAGGAGGGCAGCCGTTGCAAGCGCCCAGGACAAACACTCAGGGTGGTCTGTGGCATCATAGACATGGTTAGCTTAGACGCAATTCTTCAGGTTTCTAATCCAACATCCACCCTTTCCTCCCCCCACCATTCAAAGCTGGACTGTCGCCAACCCCAGACAAACCCATCTGTAGCTTTGTCCAGGTGACTTTTCCAATTCTTCAAGGGTGGAGATGTCCCCACCTTCTCAGGTGACCAGTTCCAGTGCCGCACCATCCTCCTGGTGAAGAAAATGCAGACGACGTACACACCATGGCGGACATACAAATGAAGTACACAAAAAATAAAAGAATGCCAAAAGCTACAAATTAAAGTTAAAATTAAAGCTAAAATTTTTTTAAAACAACCTTTGACAAGCACTTTCATGCCCTTCAGTTTTTCAGGTTTCCAAGGGTCCTGAGGAAGGAAACAAGCTGCAGGAAATGACGGAAGCATTGTGTTTTGAGCCAAAGGAGAACAACGGTAAATGCGGTTATTATGTAAATAAACACAAATCACCCCCTCTGACTGAGAGACTATAAAATCACAGGGAAAAGATCTGATCGGTTAGCGTCTGTTTTTAACTGTGGTAGTATTTGAGATGTGGATATGCGTACACTAATATGCAAAACAGCTTGTCATTTGCCCCTCAAGAGCTCAGCAGATTCATGGCTACCCTTCATCTTCTTTTCTCAGTCAAGCCAGTAGCTAAAGCCCCTCGCAGGTCTGCATAACGCTCTTTCTGATTTCTAGAAACAAAATGCGCTCTCTGTCCGGCAAGCTGGCAAAACAGTGGAGCTGACAACTGCTTCTACATTTCAAAGCAGAAGAAAACATGGAAGCAAAGCCAGGAGTTCTGTTCCTCGAGAAACTCCACTCTTCTTGTGCTAAAAGACAAAGCAAAGATGGTACAGTCTTCACCTCATGCATTCCTTTATGTCACATTTTTTAACTTCCAACAGTCCTGCAGGCAGAAAATACTTTGGTCATTTACAGTGCATGTGTTTCATTTTCTCGGGATCAAGTAGCCTTTTCGCAAGTCGCAAGGTTGTCATGACTTTCAACAGTTTCTAAATGGTGTGCTGTCAGAAATAGTAAAATTATGTATTAGGAGAAACAGAACATGCCATTAAGTAAAATACCTTAATTGGCTAATACTTAGTTTTTCACAGAGAAAACAAACTGCAGATTATCAGCATGGGCAAGAGATCCAGCACACAGAATGCATGTTTTCATTATGTTTTGCCACAAATTTTATTACTGAGGGATCCCAGCATCAAATCCACATCTATGTGAAACCTAGAGAGTGGCTGATTTGCCACGGTGACTGTAAAGGATTGTTTTCTGACCTTGTATTATACCCCTACAGAGTGGTGTTAGTGATGGCACAAAGGCCAGACAGCCGAGGATTATATTATCATGACTGAAAAAGGTTTAGGTAATTAATAATTTTAAGTAGTCTTACTAAATTGGGTTTTCTTTGCTGACTAACTAAAAATCTGTAATTTGCCATTAAGACATTTTTTCCCTTTTGGTACACACAGTTACCTGGGAACCTCTTTTTCAACAGCTATGAAGCTTACACAAAGCCCAAATATCCTTATTTCCTTTTTGCTACATAAAACTTTTAAAAGGAAACACGCTTCCCTGAAAATCTCGCTCCTTTTTCCAGACGGCGTTAGTTTCAGATGAGGCTTCTCAACTCTTGTAAGGCATAAAGGCTGTCCTTTTCAATTTTTTTTTAAAGTGAAAATCAGATGGATAGAGACGAAACAGACAGTGGAGAAACAGTTTATTACTGAGTTTAGCAGCATCCTGAGGTCAGAATTGTGGATCACACTGTTGAGAGACACCTGAACACCACACTTTTGATGCCGAATTCAAGAGACCATTTTGGTATGCTATGTAAATCCCTGCATAGTTTGATTCCAGATGTCTGGGTTCTTGCTTTTTCTTTCATGTTTGGTCTATGCAGCTGCAGCCAGACTGAGCCCAGACCAGTTTAAGCTAGCTGTGGATTTTAGATCCAGGGTGAGTCCCTAAACATGTTACTAAGCAGCAGTAGAGTTTCTGGAGGATCTGAACATGCTAAGATGTTGAGGAACATCTTAGGTAGCACTTTGACACCTAGAGAATGATTCAGGTGCCTAAGCATGGGTTTCTAGGGCAAACTGTGATGCCTGGGAGTATTCTCTTTGACCTCCAAACAATGCCTCAGCAAGGCACAGTTCTCCCGTAGGTTCTGGGTCTTGTCTGTCGCTCGTATGTGAAGACCTCAGACAGGTTAGAGAATCTCAAAAGGTGTTAGAGGCCTGCATTTAGGCAACAGGCCCTGTCCTCTAGGCTAGGATTCAGCTCATCTAACTTCCGGCATCTATAATGCAAGCAGTCTGCAACTTCAGAGCTACTTCCTTAGGCTCCATCACAGCAGTCAGTGGGACATCTGGCCAACACGGTCACTGTTCAGTAGCACTCCACTGGGTGAAAGGAATCACTTCTCAGGCTCTGTTGGGTCTGTTGGCCAGATCCCTGCTGACTCTAATCGGGGCTTAAACATATCTGTATCTAATGGCAGATCAGATAAAGCTGCTCCTCTTAAAAAAGCAGTGATTTACAGATCCAGGGTACATTTGTCTTACGGCAATTCAATGAAGAGCAGTATTTGAATGATCCTATAACCAAAAGCAGTCAGTGCTGCCTCATGGAAAACAAACATGGACAACGTGTTACTGTCCTATTGAGTGAGAGCTATATCCTTCAGTTGCAGAACCTTCACAGCTGGATGATACAGGAACTTGGGTCTTGTTTTTGAAATATTGTTGTGATGATTTTGCCGTACCTACAGGTTTCTTTGCCACAGGATTCACAGTTTTACTGGGTTGGATTATCATACATATCTGAAAGGAGAGGCTGGTACTGGGAGGATGGAACAGCTTTTTCGAAAGAAGTGACGAACTGGTAAGCCTTCTTAATTTAGGACCGGTGTGGTTCTATCCGACAGGGCCCAGTAAATTGTATGAAACTTTCCCTTCCTCTTACTTTCCCATGTTTGTCACACGTGCAATAATGAAGGAGCATGGAGATCACAGTATCTGGTACGGAGCTCTGAATTCGTGTCCTGTGTAAGGAACAATGGGTGGCAACGTACAGCTCAATCACATGCAGCAGACTCAAAAGGACCCCCTAGCACAAATAAAACAGCTCCTAGAGGGAAATAAATTCCAGCAGCAAATCAGTACGATTATAAATTGTCCAAATATAGATCACATGATGTCACCAGGACATCATTAAGCCATGTCTTTTAATTCCCTAGGGTTATGTTGTATGACAACATCTTCTGTGCCTCCTTATATGGACAGATTATTTATGCCACCCGCTCTTGTTCGACAAAGCAATTCTGGATCTGTGAGAAAGTGGCTGTTCATTTCACCTGAAGAAGCATTGCAAGAAGGGATGTGAGATCTGACACTGTGAGATACCAACTTTAGGAACTGAAAAATTTAAATATATTTTTATTTTTGTTAGTTTATCATACAGTTTTCTCAGAATGGTGATTCAAATGGACTGATCATTAGAGACTAAATCTTCCTCTTTTCTTGCGTTTCACGTCCCAGGCTCACAAATGCGAGAGAGAAAAAAAAACCAAAGATAAAAACTACAGGCCTAGGAAGCAGCTTGCAAGGGCTAGCTACAGTCAAGCAATGATTCTTGTGTGACTCTCTAGGTTGACAACCACACATTCTCGCAGATCTCTATATTTCTTGAACTTCAGTCAGCATTTTACACTAACACCTGCCAGTCATAAACCTGTCCAACTGCATCCATGATGATTTTACTCACTGAATTATTTACTGCACATACTGACTACCATCCACCTATAATTCTCTTGTAGAGTAGTTTGTCTAGGCATGCCTGCTCTCCTAAATTTGTTGTTCCAGCTGTTCCCCTGTTTGAGGTATAAGGATACAAAAGAACACAAGGCTCTATTCATCCTTAAAATTCTTTTCACATATGCATTAGTATTTATAGAAACAAAAAACCATTTTTTTAGAAGACTACAGGGAGTCCCTGGAAACAATCTCTGTGAAAAGTAGAGTGAAGCGTTGCGGCTGGATTAAAACATTACCTGAATACCTTCAGTGCTGCAGTAACATCAATTGCTATGCAACTGGCAGGGAGGATAATAATTACATGCTCCATTCAGAGCTACACACAATCAGTACTCAAACTGATGCAAAATCCATCGCCACAAATCTTACTTGAGCTCTTTTATTATATCCTCGCTGTTTGGGATCTCTGGAGCCCAAGGTACACACTATGCATCATGTGTTATTAAAGCACTTGTCATACTTCCCCAAAGAAAATGATGCCTCCGTGTCTCTGGGTGCAGTTTCATTGCATGAGTTGTTTGAGGTTTTGTATGTCTGCATTTGTTTTGTATTACATATGCATATATTCCTGGTATATATATATATATATCTTGTATCTATGTGTGTATGCCTTAGCATTTGGAGACTTTCCTTAAAATAGCTGAAAAAATAAAAATGTCTTTAGTATTCAATATTTCCTTGGAAAATATTGTCAAAGACTGAAGCAGTTCCCTGGTAAAAAAATGAACCCCTTTCCTAATGTGCTGAAAGATGTTTGTGAACTGAATAAATTCACTATACTTAGTAGAGCCAAGTCCCAATTTATGGGCACAAGTACCGATTGAACTACCTAGAATTGCTTGCTATTGCAGCAGGAAGCGCAAGGCACAATGCAAGTCAAGTACAATGTTTCATCTGTTTCAACCTATTCAGCTTGAAAAAAATAATTCATAGCAGTCATCTACGCTGTCACGTTTTACCCCTTCTATACGCCTCTGTTTGATGGCTGCATAGTGAAAACAAATGTTAGCCTGCTGACTGTCTGGTGTGACTTTCTAGGGAGCGTTCACTATTACTGCAGGAAGGTCATGTCAGTAGTGATAACTTGCAGGGCATATTTCTTTAATTTCTGTGGCTGGATGATCTTTATAAACTATTTCTATATCTTCATATAGTAAACTCCATTTGGTCTCAGCCCAGATCTTGGCCCCAGCAGCTTGGAAACGGCTTTTCCCCTGTTAACCATGGTGTTTTTCAGTGTGAAGAATTTTTAGTGTCTAGTATTTTAAAGTCAAGCAAATCCATTATTTCATCCAGTCTGCCTTCTATCTCGGCGGCTGTCAAAGTTGTCCTGACTACACATGTATGGAGCCCAAGAGGCCAGCTGCTCAGGAAGCACGACTATCTTTATGAACAGGGGAGGTCCAAAATCTCTCCATGGCACTGGAAAGTTCAGAGAAGCAGTTAATTTGAAGCACATTTTGTATGGAAAATAAAACCTAGTATTTTACACCAAGTGTGAGAGTAAAGCTCTTGGCAGAACTTGAGACATCACATATCTTGAAAGGTCTGGGAACTAAAGAGAAGTTGTTGGCTTCAACATCCCTCTAAACCTGACAGTGAAGAAGAGAGTAGTGAAGTGAATAAAGGGGTGCATGGGGGCCATGAGACCTGCAGTGCCGTTCTGAAGTGGAAGGAGCATGACAGCTTCACATTTGCCCATCTACAACAAATTAACCAAGACAGTGAAACAGGAGGATCCTAAATGTCAGCTGCTGGATAGGAAAAAGCAGAGTTCATGGATGTCAGGAAGGTAAGTTCAGAAATAAAAGAACCGAACCAAACACCCTGGCTGCACAGTGCCTCTTCACTTCTGCTACTACACCCTCTGCTTCTGGCCCTGCACTGAGTGCATTCGCTCTCTTTCCCAATGGCCCCCATCATCCTTGTTATGAGCACACCCACTGTCATGGAAGGGTTTCAGTCTTGACGGTAGATACCAGTGCTGACAGGCTGAAATGCACTGTCAGCAAGATGCTAAACGATATGGCACCAATCTGTGTCCACAGACACTGTCTATAGAAAGCAACAAAGAAAAATATCCCTTCCCTGTGAAAGTCAGCCAGTTTACAAAAAGAATTTGATGCTCATCTGTCCCTAGATCTTCCTTCTCTCTTTGTTCTTTCTATTTCAAATCAGAATCTTAAAATCTTCAACCATTATTACATCTTTCATTGACAGAGGTGACTAAAAGACTACAAGCAGGTGCCCAGGAGCACAGCCACAATGGCAGACATGGGACCATCTCTATACTAGCAAGCACTCCTTTGGAGCCCTGTACCTTCTCCCCATATTCATACTTCTGCTCTGCCAGGGCTGATTAGAGCGCTACTAGAGGCAACAAACAGAAACTGTAGTAAGGAAAATCCCAGTTAGACACAAGAAGAACATTCTTCACAGTGGGATTGGCCAAACACAGGAAGAGGTATCCAGAGAGGCTGGGAGATCTCCATGCTTGGAGACTGCGTGAACTTGACTGGACAAGTCCTTGAACAACTTCATCAGAGTTCAAAGATGCCCCAACTTTGAATAGGAGGTTGAGCGGCATGACTTCCAGAGGTTCCTTTCAAACAATGGCACTTTAGACGTAAGTCTTAAGACTTAAAACACCATGGTTCTGCCATGTATCTTTTCTTGGGGGTGTCTGGACTCCTAGACACAAGTCTCATGCATCTCTAATGACAGGTTCCCAGTTACACAATCTCACTATCACACTACAGACTTAACTCACTCTAAGGCTGCCCAGTCTTTCCCACAGTATCTTCTGTCCTTAACAGGATCTTTCAACTGGTATCATTTTGTCCACAAAGCATGGTCCTTCACTCTGTCGCTGCTCTCAGTTGGTCAGTTTTTGTATTTGTTTTTTATTCAGTTAAATAAACCTCTACTCATCTGAAACATCTGAGGCAGCAAGTCAGGTGGCAACATTTCAGAATCTTCTCTCTTTAAGACATCCTATGTTCTCCTGGCAAGGGAACTTCCAGAGGAAAAAGGGAAGAGTGCACAGCATTGTGCAGAAGGGCCAGAAAGTTGTGAGCCAAGCTTTGCGAAAAGAAAAATGGGCTCCTACTGTAGTTCAGTGGTACAGAGAATTTGGGTTACTGAAGAAAACAGTATGCAGTCTGTTTCCCACTTCTAAATATATCTCTTCAAATTATGAGAAAGGGGAACAGATGATGCTATTTCAGGTGATCTACTATCATTCTCTTGGGTATTCTCTCCTAAAAATTGAGTTTTCCCTTCATACTCATAAATCACAGAGTCATGGAAAGATTCAGTTTCGAAGGGACATCTGAAGTCCACCTGGTCCAAACTCCTGCTCAGCAAGTCTAATTTCAAAGCTAGATTAGATCAGTCCAGTCCCTGTCTGGCCAAGTTCAGAGAATCTCCAAGGATGGAGATGACACAACCTCTCTGGGCACCGCTTCCAATATTTGACCACCCTACCTGTAACTTATGACCATTGCTTCTTGTCCTTTAGATTTGAACCCTTATCACTGAATAATGAAAAAGGCACAGAGCTGAAGTTAGTCTGCCTCTGGGACACATCAGAGGTGTTTGTTCTGTTGTAAAATGTAGAAATTTCAAAGGAGATGAAAGTCATGGGAAAACTGAATGGAAAAGAGAGTAACTACCAGACCATACATTTACTTGGACTCTTGTCATCCCTGTTTGTCTCAGATCCAGGCTAAGATGTCATGGGTGGGAATAGAGGAGTTCTCCCCCTGAAGAAGGAAAAGGAGGAGTCACACATAATACTTGAATACAAATATATTGCCTCAGGGCATTTGAAGTGTGACTCATTCTCCTATCCACTCCCTCTTTCTGCTTTTCTTTTTGCTTCTCCTTCACAAATCATTCAGTTCGTCTGTAAGAGGATCGTTATTGAACCACGAAGGAGTTCTCAGATAATGCATACAAATACAGTGGAAGAGGATGGATACTCTAATTTAAATCACCTGCCACAACATCCAGCCAGACACTACATGTCCCTGAACATCAACCAAGGTAGGACTGACACTAGCTATTTGAACTTTCTGTGCTATGGTAGACAATGATAATACGAACAGTTTCTCTTGTCCAGCTCAGTAAATAAGAAAAATGTGTTCTTATAGGTTTAATATTTGTTTCTATGCACTATTTGTATGGTATTTTCTGACAAAACCCTGCATGCATAAATATGAAAATGCATAGAGTGAAATTACTGCCAGTAATTGCCCTAAATTTCTGTAGGAAAAGACTTCAGGATAAAACTCTGTAATGTAGGAATCAGCTTTAATGTGGTTAGTTTTATTTATTGATTATTTATTATTACAGGAAAAGGAAATAGAGACAGGATGATCTGACTTGTTTTGCCCTCTGGAACTCATTTTTTCAGAAAATGGTTAGGATGCATAGCCTTTAAGGCCAGAAGCGACGAGGAAACACCAGGTTTGAATGCACAGGTCACATCATTTCCCTTCTTCAACTCCCACAGCTCCTGTTGGACTAAACCATGTACTTCAAGAGGGCATCCAGACTTGAGTTAAATATTTCTTCATCTTAAAGGTCCATCATACTGCATTGCCATGACCATTTGGTGATGGTAACTCTTAGGAAATTTTGAATCCAGGGAAACCCCCACAGATATTTTGGACTTCAGAATTTTCCTGAACTAGAGTTCAGCCTGGAGCTGGCATGCAGCCTGAGCATAGTGTGCCCTGAGAGCAGGAAGGACTTGTGTAAAGTCTAAGATGGTGTGCAAATACTTACTTACTCTGTTCTGACAGAGGAGAGTAATACAGTACCGCCAAAGGAGAGCAGGAGCATCACCTACTTCTAGGTCAAAGGATCACTAAAATGTTTCATAGTTTCATAATTTGTCAACAGCAAGGGATCCCCCACCTGTTCCGTTTAAACCTCATTCAGTGACCGTTTTCAAACAGACGTCTTTAACAGAGGCACCACACTTTCTTCTCAACTTGCGTTTAGGTTGATCCCTAAAATATGATACAGCCTGGCAGGGGAACTCTTTTGAGAATCACCAGATGGCTCTTCATGGAGGGATGGAGGGTTGGCAGTGCTGCTGAACAGGGTGTCTGCCCTCAGATAAATTGTTGGTTTCTCCCAGGGCGCTTTCTTCCCTTTGCTGTATGGTGGCCAGCTATCTTCACTTTGTTTGCGCTGTGCCTGGCCCTCACCATAGGAACGATCATCCTAGGTAAGTGCTGATATATACTGTGTTCCTTTATTCATGTTAACACCTGGGGAATAACTGCACGGAAGAAAGGTTACAGACTGCCTGCAACAAGAACAGTCATAGCTCATCCTCCCCACGTGTACTGTCCTTTCCTCTCCTCCTAATTACCTGCGATGAACTCTCTGCAGCTTTGGTGCACATAAGGCTTTGAGGGAAGCAATTTTTATAAGTCTGGACCTGTGCCCATAGCAAAGATATAGAAGTCAAGATGACATATTTCGGAAAAAGTGGGAGGAATGGAACCTGTCCTCATCCATCTATTACTCATTTATTAGCTAATTCAAATCCAATTATAAAATCCTTCTGTTGACTTTCACAAATCAGTTTGTTTCCCTTCTCGTCTTCTCCTGTTGTTCAAGTCTCTCTACTTTACTGGGATAGCAGTTCTTGTCTCATTCCTTTGATAAACCTTTCATGTTTGTAGACTACTGTCTTAAATTATTTGTACTAGTATGTTAAAAATGGACATACTTCTAGCACTCAGATTCATGAGGAAATATCACTTTTTCTGTCTGTTTCACTCAGTTGTCCCAGTTTACCAGAGATTTGCAAGAGAACTGAAGACTTTCATATTTATATCAGCTTTTATCATATGTGATGTGACTACCTATACTTTCTACCACGGAGCTTGGTTGCAGTCATTCTGAGCCTTTGCTACCAAAAGCCAGTATCTAAATACTGTTGAGGAAGATATATAAATAACCCTCCCCGCTTTCTTCAGAGAAGTTTTACCAGCCAGCCCTTAAGAATAAAAGGTTGTTTCAACATGAAATATGTTTAGATTTTTTTTTTCAAAGGCTTATAAAACTTCTTTTAAGATCAAAACAATTAGTTCAAGATAGTCCTCCCTAAGCATATTATTTTGCATTATTTCAGTGGTTTATTAGGTTACCAAGTGGCCTGCAACGGTACAGTGATTAAACTGCATTTAATATTTGGAAATCTCTTTATCCGTCATTTTTTAATCTGCTAATTTCCTCACAATATGTGACACTGTAGCATCAGCGTTGCATGTGAGCATGCTGTTGCAAAAAGTGAATTTGCAATATATGATGAAGCATGTATCATGCAGTTGCATCGTCATGGCTTTTTTGTCTCATGAAGAATATTTTTATAAACTCCAGGTCTCAGAGGTTCTACGGCTTCTGTAGAACATACTGAAAACTTGCAAGGACTAAAGGAGAGATTGTGCTTGACAGGCAACGGAAACAGTAAGTACGATAATAAGTACAACTACTGCTCACTCAGCCTGAAATCTATGTGTCAGACCTTATATCAGATTAAACAAGCGTGTTATAGGCTATACTGGATTAAATAATGAGTTTCAAAAAAAAAAAAAAAAGAATGAGTGTGAATGTGACCCATAAAGTGTCACATACATTTCAGCTATACATAACTTTGACTTTCCAGGCCTATGGGTATAGACTCCTCTACTATTCCTTTGGCTGTTCATGAAGGACTAATGGCTTCTTTCTGTTCTAGGACATGCATGTGTTGTGTGCCCTGTAAACTGGAAATGGGTTGGAGGCGACACATGTTTCTACTTTTCAGAAAAGGAAGCCACATGGCAGGAAAGTGAAGAGTTTTGCTTCTCCAAAAATGCCACCCTTCTTATGCTGAAAAACAAAAGCAAGTTGGTATGGTTCCAGTTGTACTGGTATTTCTTTGCATTGGTACCCACTACTCAAAACTCCTCCCCGGTCAGCAAGAACCTCTTGATGTTACACAGTAATAGAGGTACTGTCCCAAACGTCTGAGGCAATGCAGACTGCAGAGCGTTTAACCACAAATGTGTAATGATGAGGTAACCAGCAACACAGGATATTATTCAGCTGAACAGTGGACAGGAGTGTCATGGATCCTGTGCAAGTTATAAGCAGTGAGTCTTTTATTCCAGAAATGTCTTTGAATACTCCGAGAGACAGGGCTTTAAAAAGTGTTGTTGCCCTGATCTTACACTTAGTAGAGATGCCAGACACAAAATATTCATGTTTGCATGACAAATAGAGATGTTGTCTCTTGGCAACTGTTACGAGGGCCTGATGAGGAATTCAGAGAGTCATTGTCAAATTACCTCTTTTGGTTCTTTCTTGATCACCTTCTCCCCAACAGCAGTTGTTTAGGTACAGATCAAATAATACTCACAAGCTCCTTGATGATAAAGGTTTTGCATTTTTTATAGGCTAGCATATCTCAAATATCACAAAAACGATCTTACTGGATTGGATTATCATACGGAGTTGATGGTTGGTCTTGGATAGATGATATGAAACTTTCTACAAAGAGAATGGACTGGTAAGTTTTCTGACCTTAAATAGCTGGTGGGTTTTAATCTTTTCTTGCACAACATCCTTCCTGTGCATTGAAGGAGGGGGCAACCAAAATCCCATTAATTGCAAAGCTTCAGGGCAGAATACAGCTGCAGGTGTATTTGCAGTTAAAATACTCTTTTAGATGTGGAGTCCCTGAAATGAGAAAAAGTCTCAGAAAATTGAAAGTGTGAGCAGAAGGAGTCAACAAACTAGTGCAACCAGTGACTGCTCTCACTATTTAAACCCATTCACTTTATGGAACATCCCATGACTCTGTAGCAAGCAACCCACACTTCCTTCCAGACAGCTTACCTCCTGCAAAGCCTTCCTGCACCTGCCTCTTCTGCTCAGCCACAATTATCCCAAATTAACTTCTTTCTTCCATCAACATTTTGAAACCTTTATTACACAAAAATTGTCAACATTAGGTGGAGACAATCTGTTTATTTTTTCTGTAAAATGTCATCACCTTACTTGGTGTGTTTCTCCTTTACTAACCATGGGGAAAAAATCAAATTCCAGTTCTGTTCTATGTGAAGTAATCACTGTATGCAGTAACATGAGACGCCACTTCAGGGTCTGTGATCTTCTCTGACTGAAGATTCTCCAGCACCTCCTTGGAAACATGTGCTCATTTTGTCTTGCAAACTCATACACTTCCCACAGCTAGTAGATATCAGGCAGAATGATCTGACTTCTGTTTGGGCAGACCACTGCCTTTCAGTTTCCAGACCCAAATTACCCTAAATAAAGCAACTGTTGGAGTGACATAACCACAGGTGAGGAAACAGTGCTACTTTCTGCCTTGATGGCGCTCCATATGTAGGCTTTCTTTTTTACATCTTTGAGCTGAAGGCAGATGGGAGAATGATCCTTCAGACTTGAATTATATGAGCTGTCAAGTTCTTCAATATTTTGTATCAACCTCAAAATGACTAATCAACTTTTGCAACAATGTATGATTGTAGAAAAGGGATTTATTTTTTAAAAAAAATTTGTATATGAGAGTTTTTAATAAGATAATGGTGTGGTGTTTTTTCTCTAGGATTGATTTGTCCTCTAAGCAAAACTGTGCTTACCTGTCTTATCGCAAGTCAAGAGTTTACAGTGAGAATTGTGATGAGAAATATCCCTGGATCTGTGAGAAGGCATCAGTCCAACTGACCTAAAAAGATTATCAGCAGTAAAAGAACTGGAAGAGTGTGAAGAAGATTTTAATGTTCAGATTTTTCAGTGAAAAATAATGTAGAATAATATTTAATACAAACTCAGAGTTCAGTCCACCATTTCTTCCTAGTGCATTCACACAAACACAAAAACAGAAAAGAGACAGAAAGCCTTTGCAGACAAAAAGAGCCATCAGTAACAAATATCTACAAATCAGAGATGGGATATTAGTCTCATCATTCTATTTCAGAAACCTCTACCTTAAGCGAGGTGACAAGCTTAAACCTGACATACAGCCTTTTGTCATTGTTCCAAGTTTGGAAGTGACTCTCAGATCTTCACGTTGGAAAATTGAGTTGAGTGGTCAAATCTGAAAAGGTATTTTGATGCAATTTTGTGATACTTAATACATTATGCCCACTAGAAATTTGATGCGTATTCCTATGTGAATTTTGCACAGGGATGCAATTAGAACCACCACATACAACAATGAAACATCTTGGTCCATGAATGTGTGACATATGTGATATAGTCTTACTTATACAGCAGAACAAACTTCTCTCTTTCCTTGGGTTGTAATATCATGCTTCAAAATGCAGATCTTTTTAAGTGCGTAAGACTTTTGCCACGATAATGTGGGCAAGTTGATGTTAATTATTTATTTACTTTCCCTTACAAAATACTGCTTTCCAGATACACAATTCTTATTAAATATCTGCACCACTATTTATGCTATGACAAGTTTTCAGCTTAATTTGACATTATAAATAGCAGCAAATATGATTTCAGCATGGTCATTTGAATGTCTGTCTCCAGGAAAGGTTTTACCCACAAAGGCCACCTGCACGTCTTGTGCATTTAATTGTGTTCCAACTGTGTGTTCCAATTCCACATGTCAGTTGAGTCTGTTTGTTTGCTTCAGGTGCCCACTGTTACTAGCTATCTCACTCTGAAAAAAAGGCCAATAAATCTAAAGAATGAGAGA